GTATATTGCTATACCTTACATTTCTTACACTGACAGATAAATTGTGGACAGTTTTTTTATACCTTGGAGCAAAGGGCATTAGATTGGCAAAGACATAGGATCTGGGTGTGCCTCTGGGTCAAGAGGGCAGGAACAGAAGGTTCTGCTTTATTCACTTAATCTTCACAACAACCAAATGAGGGAAGCACTGTTGTCATCTCCATTTTACAGATGAGGAAACTGAGCTTCTCGACCTTTTCCAATTCACAGGCACATGTAGAAAATAGTGGTTGTATAGGATGCTGGATTAAACAAATGAGGCTAACAGAGACTGAAGGTGCAGGGTGAACACTAGTTCCAGTTTGCCCAGAACTTTCTCTGTTTTAAAAGCCAAAGTCCTTTGTCCTGGGAACCCCTCCAGTCCCAGTCAAACCCAGATGGTTAGTCACCTTTCAGAGGTGTCAGATTGGGGTCTCTGGCTGCCTAAGCCCAGCCTGCCTGACTGACCTATGGATGAATATCTCCTTGCTCTTGTAAACTTTTAGGGGTGCACCGGTATGCCTGGCCATTGCAGGTGAGGTCACAGAACTAGTAAAAAGAGGAGCAGGATTGAACCCAGCTCTGTGAGACTCCAGACCCCAACTCTTAACTGTGATGTTTTGTTCTTCTCTGCGCACCCATTTGCCCATCCCCTTATCCTTGCCAGCACAGCTTTACCCGCAAACACTCAGTACTTTGGTGCTGTTGTCCCACCAAACTAACAGAGGTAAAATGGGCTTACACATGCTCACTTTGTTCTCAGAAACATTTGCAATTTTAAAGAGTGCCCCAGGAAGAGGAAGTGTGTCCAGGAGGCTAGACAGTAAGAGAGATACACATAAAGGGGTGACAGTGCCCAATCTGGATGTCATGCTAAAAACTCTGGACTTTCCCCACAGCCATGGGGAGCCACTGAAGATTTAGGAGAAGGAGAGTTGCATGATCACTTCCAAGTTTTGAGATGCTCTTGCTGGCAAAGTGAGGGAATATGGACAGGTCAGGGACTGGAGACAGGGTGACCCGTTAGGAAGCTGGAGAAACAATCGAAGTAGCAATGATGTGGGCTTGAACCAAGGCAGAGGGAGTGGGAAATAGAGGGACAGATAAAGCAGAAGTCATAGGAAAGGGGAAGGTTGAAGATATCGTTAATTTATTAATTTTTTATTTATCCAGTCGGTCTTGTTTACTCCACCATATACTTATTTAACAAATATGTTTAGCTTCTGTTAATTGCCAAGAGCTACACTAACCCTGAACTGACTCTAGTTTTGAATCTGACAAGGAGAAACAGGAGTTCCTGAACTCAAGAGCAGAAGCAGACTTCTTCAGTTAGTGTTTGGCCATGCTGAGTTTGTCATTTATGGCCAACTTCAGATATCTCTCTGAGATCTTTAAGGATCAACCATTAAAAACAGCCCCACTTAGAGAAGACACAAATTATATGGTATAATTTGAGGCCTCTCAGGTTTCATCATTAGATATTTATTCTTTTGGGTCAGTCACTGTTGCTGCAAAGGGAAAATCAAGTAATTATTCCATGATATTTTCACTCCCTTGTTCCAAAGCCTTCAATGGTTCCCCATGACCTATAGAAAAAAAGTTTGAGGTCCTTAGAAAGGTTTCTAAACTGGGCACTAGCATGGTTATAATTTTACATTTATCTGTATGAATCTTACTGAAGCCTCTTTCTCTCACTAAACTATAAACTATTATTGTTCATCAATAGTTCATTGCTCGTACCTGGCATGATGCCTGTCACATAGAGGTTGCTTAATAAATATTTGTTAAAAGAGCAATGTGTCTTTTCTCTAGAGTGACTGGAGTAGATAGATGTCAATATTCATGGATTCTATTGTGGCCCCTTTCTTGACTTTCTCGGACTAAGCTCTCTGTGGACTTGAACCCCAGGCCAACCACAGCTGCAACCTGGCTTCCCAGAGGCTCTGAGGCCAGGAATGGGCAAAGGTCAATGGCACTTTAGGCCTGCCCCCAAAACTTCCCAAGACTTTGCTACCAGGGAGTCTGTTTCATATGTACTGCTGAGATGTTAGGACTGAAAGGGCTACAGCAAAATCATGAAGAATGTTTGTCTCTTGTAGTTTTTATGCAACATACATTTCTCCAAGAGTGATGAGGATATTCTGGAGATTACAGCTGCCAAGAGTCAAATGAATGCTACGGGCAATTTGAAGAAGAAGGACTGTTTTGCACTTAAGGAGGCAAAGTCTCAACCATTTGAATGTCTCTGCCTCACTTACCTCTTCCAGTAAACCCAGCACAAATGAGTCTAGTAAGTCAGGCTGGGCCCAAGAAGAAGCCACTGTCATTTGGGTAGCAGGCTCCTGGCAGAGGGCTGAGTGGGACCTGAAATCCCCCCAGCTCCACTCTGAGCCCTGGCTGTGTCTTTCTAGGATGTTAGCATCTTTGTCTAATTCACACGAATTCCTAGAAGGGTGCCTTTTTCTAATTGCACAGACACACCTTATGGGTTCGTGGTGGTGGTAGTCATGGAGGCCCTCTGGGGATAGTGACTAAAAAGCTAAGGTATTTAAAAGAGGCCCCTGCATCCAGCCAAAAGCTGAGTGGGACTCTGGCACCCCTCAGTGGGTTTACAAAGAGTACCTAAAGCCCCCTCAGAGTTCTCTCCCTTGTTCCAATTTCTAGCCTAGTCATTGCCAACTCCCTGCTCAGCCCTGAGGGTGCTGCCTGCCCAAGACTCCTGCCTGCCCTCCTTCCCCACCAGTCCCCTGGGTTACCTTCCAAGCATATCCCGATGCGTCCTAGATACCGTCCAGTGGTTATGAATCAGGCCATAGGCTCTGGTGCAAGAAAAGTTACACTGCCTTATCTTCATTAAATCAACACCAGTTGGTTTCTGAGCCCATTTCCCTCTGCCCTGGTGGTTATTTTAACGTCCTTCTCCTCTTTAGGATGACCCAGGGCCATGAGCAATGACAAGGCTCTAGTGTTTGGTTGTTTATAGGCCCCGTTGATATATTTCTTGGCTTAGCTTATATACTTCTGAGGGGCCAGAGGTTCTGCTGCAACTCTGATCCCAAGGGCTTTGCCAGGCTGGGAGCCTTGTTGATTTGTCTGCGTAATGTCATTTCCTTCTTCTGAATCTAAGTTCCATGAGAGCAGAGACTTGGTTTTTAATTCACCACTGTGTCCCCAGAGCCCAGAAGCTGACATCCAATATTATTGAATCCAATGAATGTCCAAGGACTTCGTGTCTGAAAACCTGTTCCTTCCTGGAGCTGGCCTGGACATGTTTGGAACCCAGCAACCTCTGTCTGCTATCCTGGCTGGGCGAGTCTCCCTTCTCTTATAAGTGCTTCCCCTGGCCCCTTCCAGGGGAGGTCAGAGGACAAAAGCCTGGAGGTGGCTGTTGTTAAGAAGCTGTGGCCTTCCATTTGGCCACGGCCTCCCGCAAGGGAAGGAATCTTTGCTACCTGCTTAGAACAGGGTTTTTAAAAAGAGCACAATACAGCAAGAACACAAATTAACACCTCAAGCGATTCCCCAACTAGTCTTTTTAATTCCTCCCTCCTACTAGTCACTAATTCCCTAGTGGAGATTCTCACCACTTTCCCCAGGACTTCTCTGCCTCAGGCTCCTTCCTGGTCTCCCTGAAAATCCACCTTCTGCAGAGCCAGTGCAGTTTTTCTAAGATGCTAATTGGGTTGCATCGCTGCTCTAGTTAAGACTCTTCAGTGGCTTCCCACAGCTCTCAGCTCAACAAGCAAGCATGGCCTGGCTCCCTCCAGCTTCCCTGGCTCAGGAGCACCTAACATGGCTCCCTGGGGTGTCTCAGCACCTCTGTCCTAACAGAGGTTGCTCCTTCTGCCTGGGACACGCTTCTCCCCATTTTCTTCCTCTTCTAGGTAACTCTCACTTGTACATTAACATTAAGCTGGTGGGACAACCATACAACTACGTGCCTTGTGATGCATTGTAACAGGAAGGACACATGACCACCTGAGAAGTCTTCTTGCTAAAAACTCAAACGTGAATATCATCAAACCTCTAGATCTAACTATCAGCTTACAGGAAATGTGAGGAACAGAGAAACGTGTTAAATGACCACCAAGAAGCAACCAGCCAGATCCTCCAGAAAGCAGGAAATTTTATAGGATGAATGATGTGGTTCCTTTGACAAAGAACAAAGACAAAAAGGGGAGGGAGAGAGGTCTACAAATTAAGAGAGACTTAAGAGACACACCGACCAAATGCAATGTGTAGACCTGGTATAGATACTGGTTTGAATAAACCAACTTTAAAAATAATGAGATAATAAGGGAAATTTAAACATTTGCCCAAAGTCTACCTGGTGATAATAATTACTATTATTTTTTTTAGATTCGATAATGGTATTATCATTGTGTTAGGAAAAGAGTCCTTATCTTTTAGAGATAGATAATAAAGTGTTTATGGGCAAAAGGATATGATCTCTGGAATGTGCTTTAAAATAATCCAATGGGGCTGGAGTTGAGGGTATAGATGAAGTAACATTGGCCATAAGTTCGTAATTGCTGTAGCAATATGAAGGATGGGTACTCTGGGATTTATTACACTATTCTCTCTACTGTTTATGTTCGACAATTTCAATAATAAAAGAAGAGATTAAGCCCACTCACCTCTTCCCAGAAGCCCTTTCACTTTTCTTCATCTGCGTTAGATGCCTCCTTTGGGCTTGTCAAGCCATCTAACATGCTGAACAGCAGTGCAGTGGTTTACCTTCCCCACTTGATGGCAGGGCCTGCCCTGGGTCCCCTGCCTTCTTGGGACATGGTTCTCAGCATGAAGGAATGGATGACTCTTAGTCTTGGTTCATTTGTGGTCAAGCAGCTCCATTCCCAACTAGCAGTTAAGCTCCTTTGATAGCAAAGGCCAACCACTTTATTATACAGGTTTGTGGTCTGCTGAGTGGAGCCACATAAAAACTCAGAGAGCAGATGATTTTTGCCTCTCAGTGACTGGGATGGGGTGAGTTCCCTGGAGAACCCAGTTGCCGGCTTGACTGACATGCTCTGAGGAACCGGCAGAACAGGTGCTATTTTCTACTTCAGAGTCCAAAGGCCTGGCTGGTGCATCTCGTCCGGCAAACCCAGCTCACACCCTGCCGGGTGAAGGAGGAAAAGCCAGAGGAGCCAGATGTCTTGGACGACTGGGAACACCGGGTAACAGGACAGAAAGTTCTGCTCAGGCAAGTGGCCACCAACATCTAGTTAGGAAGCCTGTGGTGTGAACAGCTCCTGGAGAATCCCGTATCTCCTGCGAGGAGAGCCCCAAGGATGAGTCTGCTCAAGCTGCTGATTTTTCTGGCCCAATGGAGAGTCGCAAGGGCTGGACAAGGTAGGCACTAGAAATGCCTGTGATGTCTTTGTTTTGTACTATGAACTCAGGATCAGGGCTGCTGGTAACTTCTCGCAGGAAGTTGAAAGTCTTGCTAAAATAGCAAGGCGGGGAGGTAGGGCAGAGAGGCCAGGTGAGGGGGTTAGTAGGTAGTGGTTGAGCCCGAAGATTTTTTTTTTTTTATATATGCCTATAATAGCCAGGTGAGGGGGTTAGTAGGTAGTGGTTGAGCCTGAAGATTTTTTTTTTTTAATATGCCTATAATACCCAGTCTTCCCAGGTGGTCTCCCATCCAAGTACTAACCAGGCCTGACCCTGCTTAGCTTCTGAGATCCGACTAGATTGGACATGATCGGGGTGGCGTGGCTGTAGACCTGAAGATTTTAAGTGGCGGCAACAGCAAGCCAGGGGAGAGGTACTAATATTGCTAAGAGGCATCCATATATAAGAGCCAGCCACCTGATAAAGGTAGAAGGTGGCAGGAAGATTCCTGAATTCATTTAACAAATATTGGTTGAGGGCCTTCTATGTATCATGAGCTATTCTAGGAACCAGAAAAGAAAAGAAAACAAACAAAGCCCCAGTGTTCATGAAGCATTCCTTCATTTGGGCAGAAAACAAACCAGAAGACTCATGAACAAGTAAGTATACAGTAGATAGCAAATGTTATGGAGAATAATAAAGCAGAATAAAGGGATAAGGAGGGTGGAGGAAGGGGTATTTGTGGGGTGGCTGGACAAGAGCTGTCTAATAAAGTGACATTTGAGCAGACACCTGAAGCAGTAAGGGAAGGAGCCATGTGGACATCTGGAGAAGAACATTCCAGTAAGAGAGGATGGAACATGCACAGGCCCTGAGCAGGACACACAGGTGATGTGTATAGGAGGAGCAAGGAAGCCAGCGTGGCTGGAGCAGAGTGGGTAAGGGGGGTGGTAGAGACGAGGTCAGGAGATCACGGGAGTGGGGGACGAGGTTGGGGGCTGGCGTCAGCTCACGTATAAACTTGCAGTCAAAGATTCAGAGTGACATGGAATATCGTTAGAGGGTTTTGGGCAGTGCTGTGATGTAATCTGCCTTGTATCCATTTAAAAGGACCCTGGGGTTATTGTAATGAGAAGAGGATGTAATGCCATAAAGGCAGGGGGATCAACTCCTCTCAGTTTGTCTGAGACTTTCCTTGTTTTAGCACTGAAATTTCAGGGCCCTGGACACTCCTGCAGTCCTGGGTCGGTCAGTTACCCTAGTAAAGGAGAAGCAGCCAAGCCAGTGGGAAGGCCATTGCCATCATCCAGGGAGAGAGGATGGTGGCTTGGCCTAGGGTGGTAAGAGCAGGAGTGGTGGGAGATGGTCTGATTCTGAACAAGACTTGCTGACAAATGGTGGATGCGAGAGAGGAGGACTTAAGGGTGATTCCAAGATATTAGCCTCACAACTAGAAGGACTGAGTCATCATTTGCTGAGATGCAGGAGGAGGAAATGCAGTTCGATTTGGGATACGTCCAGTTTGAGATGCCTGTTAGATTTCTATGCGGGTAGAGGGGAGTTAGTGGGAGGGCTGGACCTTTGGCTTTCCCTAGGATTCTAGATTGCCCTTTTCTGGCGTCCTTGAATGGAACCTTAGAGATGATCCAGCATGCTTTCTGTAGCTGCAGATACTGCAGATACTGAGGCTGAGAGGGGAAGAATTGGCTCAGGGTTCTGCTCGTTGCTTGCTCCTGTGGAGCTCAGTCGTGGTCAGTCCACTTCCTCAGACCCTACCCAGCAGGAGCTGGGAGGCTTTGGCAAAGTGCCCTCAACAGGAGACCAGAGTGAAATGCCTGAGAAGGACTCAGATCCAAAAGCTATGGCTTAAAGGTAGACACGTCTTTGAGACAAGCCCTGAGAGGATGTCATTCCCCATGAGGGCAATCTGTTTGGGAGAAGGCTGAGGGTGGCAGTCCCCCTTCCACTTTGAGGCAGATACCCAGCTCTCTGGGGTGGGGTGGAGGGTGGTGATGGTGGGGGGACTTGGAGCCCTGCCAGTCTGACTGGAGACTTGAGAATGAGTGAAAGAATTTTCCATTCCTTCGCTCTTTACCTTTTAAATACGTTTGCTTAGAAATCCAAATGCCAATGGGCAACGCCCCAGTCTAGGATCTTAGTGGTTAAAAAGAATCTCTCCTCCCCCGAAATGCACTAAGATGTCATTGCAGCATTGCTTATAATATTAATGAAAAATGTTAACAACAATAATGGAATAGCTAAATAGATTATGATAATATCTCCAGGTGGAAAAGTTTCAAGACAATATAGCAAAATTGAAAACAATAAGTAACATTTCTTAACTGCTTATTATGTGCCACACACTGCTAACATTTTTACATAATGCCCCCACAACAGCCTTATGAAGTAGGGATTATCAAGGAAACTGAGCCTTAGAGAAGTTAAGTAACTAACCCAAGGTTACATATCTAGTTAATTCTGAGTCTAGACCTGAACCCAGGCGGTACAATTTCAATCTGTTTTTAAATAATGCTATGTAATAACAAACGAACACTCAGGAAAATAGCCAAGAAGTGCTAATATTTATTTACTGAATACTTATGATGGGCCATGCTTGTGCTGGTGCTTGATATGTGCTGTCCTTTTAAAGCCTATCTGAAACATAAAATAAAAAAAACTCGTTTGATTTTTACAGTCTCTGTAAGTTGGGTACTATTACCATTACATCCATTTTACAGGTGAGGAAAATGAGACACAACACTTGCTTAAGATTCCACAGCTAGGAAGTGGCAGGACCAAATCCACATGACCGACCTTAAACAGATAGATGGCCAGATATTCCTCTCGCAAAATGAGTTTATTCAGGAACAATAAAGAATTGCAATTCAGGACATGTGGTCTAATGACGAACTACAGCAAGTCCAGAGATCAAAGGACTAGAATATTCTTTTATAGAGGATAGAGGGAGTTCAGAGCAGCTTTTGGAAACAGAGTCCATTAAGTAAACTGGTAGTTGGAAATGTAGTGGCTTTTCACTGGTTGAGTTGTAACAGCCTTTCATCGGCTAAGCGGTTGTCAGGCAAGAAAAAGATCTTCTTTCTTCCTGCTGGAATGGCAGAAAAGCATCTTCCTGTTGGAGATGGAAAATAAGTCTCTTCCTGTTTTGAGATAATTAATGGTGAGTGACAGGGTGTGATAGCACCTCTGCAGACCTTTCCAATTCCAGTTTAAATGTTTTGTTTATTAATCTTCGTAACACTCAGCTGCTTTAGGCATCATGCCCTTTGATGGGTTCTCTTGGAATGGTGGGTTTTACAGGTACTATTTTTTTCTCTTTTCTCCAAACTTTCTGGAATGGATATATCTATAATTTAAAAACAAAATTAAATTTAAAAAGAATTCCACAGTACCTCTAAGTTTTTACAGAATCTGAGTCTGTCTCTTCATGAAGATCAAGAGAACTTTGGGACACCCAATCAGATAGCAATAATCCCTGCTTTGCATAAAATTACAGGTTTCTGCCTCCATCTTCCTTAGCCAAGAGCTTGGGTGGGTGGGGCACCGACTTGCCAACTCCTCTCCTCCTATACATACCCTATGTAACGCTGCGTTATGCTTCAGCTCTTAATTGCACAGAAAGAGACAAATTCTTTCAGTGTAGGTCAGCGTGGTAGAAAAATATTTCCCTCAAGATGGTAAGCCTGCCTCTTGAGGCTGTTGTGAGAAAAAGGCAATCCTGAAGCAAGGGGGGGTCAGTAAATGTTGGTATTAACAAGTGATCTCTCTGTGTTTTGGAGGGCCTTCGTTTACAGAGGAGGAATAATAATGGAGGTGTTTGGGGTTATTGCATAGCGTCAAAAGCACAGGGCTGAAACAAGGACCATGATCAGTTGGTGGTTTGGGCTATACACAGTAACAGACCAAAGTCATGGAATCACAGAACGTTAGAACTTGCAGGGCCTTCAGATAACCTTTGTTATACCCTCATCTAACACCTGAGCAAACAGAGGCTCTTGAAAAGAAAACTTGAGGCTTCAGGGACAGAGTGGCCCAGGAAATGAGCACTCGGCCTGGCTTGTCTACCCAGCTGCCAGGTGCTTCATATGAGATTTCCCTTTTCATCCACACATCTATGTCTTTGTTACTGACATTGTTATCCCCATTTTACAGATAAGGAAATGGAGGCTCAGCTAAGAAAATCTCTTATTCTAGTTGCCATTGCTTGTGTAGAGGAGCCAGGATTCAAAATGAGATTTTTCTTATTCCAAATTTCATGCATGCTCTTTCAAAACAACCCTCTGCCTCAAGCCAGAAAACCTAGGTCTTACCTTTTAATAGTTATGTGACCTTGAGCCTTTATTTCACTATCTATAAAATAGGGATAGTAGCAGAGGAGATATTACATGCGATAGTTCAGTAAGGTCACGCGCATCCATGGTAACGTTCTGTAGAAGTTTATATGGTCCCTTTACTGTGTTGACACCTCATCTGGCGAAAATAATAAGGCTTTATATAGTCATACTGCTGGAATCTTTTACAATTTGAAAATATTCATGTATTCCTTGAGTTTTAAGAAAAGGTACAACAATCTTAGCTGTCATAATTTTTATTATATATTTATAATATATTACATAATAT